TGATGCGCTGCAGCAAATCGCTTGTGGGGCTGCGGAAGAATGGGAGCTGGCTGGCTTCCACCCTTTACCCTCCAGGACCGTGGTTCCAAACTGGTGTGGTTTGGTAGAGGATTCCCACAGCCTGAAGGGGGAAAAGTTCGATGATGTATGATTGCTGCAGCGAGAGGTTGTCAATACAGGATTGTTTTGACCTTAAAAGTGCAGGTCCTATATTTTCTGTTCCTTGTTTATTTGTTTGTTTTGCAGCACAAGAAAAACTTTAACAACAACTTTTTTTAAAAGCCAGTTGAACAGAGTGGCGTATCCGAAGAAGAGATTAACATTCCACACTCCGGCGATTCACATACAGTTTGTAAATTAAATTAATTGCACTTGCAACGGTGCTGTGGTCTAAACCACTGAGCCTCTTGGGCTTGCCGATTGGAAGGTCGGCGGTCCAGCTTCTGCCAACCTTGCAGTTTGAAAGCACACCAGTGTGAGTAGATAAATAGATACCAATGCGGCGGGAAGGTAAATGGCATTTCTGTGCACTCTGGCACTCGTCACGGTGTCCTGTTGCACCAGAAGTGATTTAGTCATGTTGGCCCCATGACCCAGAAAAGCTTTCTGTGGACAAACGCCGGCTCCCCCGGCCTGAAGCAAGATCAGCACCGCACCCATTAGTCGAATTTGACTGGACTTAACTGTCCTTTACCTTTACCTTTTACCTGCTTCCACAATGGTTTTGTTCTGTCTTCACTTTCAGAGGGAGTATTCCTTTGAACTGCAAGTGGTGAGTTGCTGGGAACTGCAAGTGGTGAGAACATTATTGCTCTCAGGTCCGGTTTGCAGGTTTCAATCTACTTGGCTACTCCAAGAGAAGGATAACAGAATCGTAGAATTGTCCTAAGGGTCATCCAGTCCAACCCTCTGCAGTGCAGGAATCACAGCTAAATAATCTCTGACAGATGGCCATCTAACCTCTGCTTTAAAAACTCTAGATGGACCTTTGTCTTGATCCGGCAGGACTTTTCTCATGTTCTTGGCGTGTAAGTGTATTGTATGTAATAGGATTTTCAACTGCAACAATTATCAGGTGTCTTGAAAGAGCCAGCAGTTCACTGAACTGTTGTTGTTGTTGTTCAGTTGTTTAGTCGTGTCCGACTCTTCGTGACCCCCTGGACCAGAGCACTCCAGGCCCTCCTGTCTTCCACTGCCTCCCGCAGTTTGGTCAAACTCATGCCGGTAGCTTCGAGAGCACTATCCAACCATCTCGTCCTCTGTCGTTCCCTTCTCCTTGTGCCCTCCATCTTTCCCAACATCAGGGTCTTTTCCAGGGAGTCTTCTCTTCTCCTGAGATGGCCAAAGTCTTGGAGCCTCAGCTTCAGGATCTGTCCTTCCCGTGAGCACTCAGGGCTGATTTCCTTCAGAATGGAGAGGTTTGATCTTCTTGCAGTCCATGGGACTCTCCATGGGACTCGCTGAACTACTGGCTTGTAAAAGCTGCGCAGTCCACACTCTTGAGGGAGTTTTGGACTTCGGTTTCACTAGGGTGGAAGAATCATGTTGGTATTTCCTTCTGATCTGATCTGATCTACAGAGCTCTTGAGACACCTGATTAGGAAACGGACCTGCTATTTGCTTTGGTTTGTGTACAAGCAAACAGAAGGCCTGAGGACTCCCCCCCCATCAGACATTGACGTTTAAGCTCCTGGATTTTCTTCTGACTCTTGCCAGTCGGCTCCACAGAGGGAGCAGTCCACACCGCCCAAGGTTTAAGTGTTCCCAGCAGACTGCTTAAGATGATGTTGCCGCTGCTAAGATTTCTTAGTATACCCTTTTTTTTGGTACTGCCTTACTTTTAAAACCATGCAGGACCAATGACTGCAGAGCATATGAATGCAACCGGTGCAGCCACTGTTGGGATGATGGAAGAACCACATTCCCTACTTCCATCTGTTGTGGGAGCCGGGTTCAAACTTCCCGACTGCTGCTCCGAAGAGAGAGAACAGGCTCCCCTACCGCAGCGGCAGACAATAAACACTTGTTCTTAATTTGTTCTCTCCGGCGACGGGTCTGGCAAATTAGTTAGGGCCAAAGGAGAGGGATGCGTCGTTCTGCAGTGAGCCGTCCGGCTCCTGGGGAGTTGTGTGTATGCAAGGCCCAGGGCAGAAAAGCAGAGCAGGCTTCTCCACCACCGTGAAAACACAGGCTGGTCCAGAGCGAGTCATACCTGTTCTTTGCCCACCTCTGCCCTGTCGATCCGGCTGTTCTTTTCCGCCATTCTCCGCTGCTGCCTGGTGCGGAGGAAGGAGCCCTTCAGGGGAACGTTTGGCAGTGGCAGCAGGTGATAAAATGGTCAGCGCAAGGGAAGGAGACAGGCCCGACAGGAGCCCAAGGTGAGAGGTGGCGTGCCGTCTTTGCATTGCCGCCTGGAAGGGGAATCGGTGAGGTGAGCTCTGCATCCATGTGTCAGGAGCGGTAATGCTCAAGCCAGACTGCAAAGCTTCTCCGCGGCTGTGCCAGCATCACCAACGGTGTAGAAACTGAAGGGAATGTGACGGGTCCAAATCGAGTGATCCAAATGTTCCCTGCTGTTGAGCATCATCTTCTTATTTCCCTCCCCTATGTTGACAGGCAAGTGACCATGGTGACCGGTGTTTGTTCTGTTGGCCGCAAAGGGTTGCATGGTGATTCTTGCCAAACCTACCTGCAGCAGACTAGTTTCTGGACTGAACTGGAAGCACAACTTCACTTTTACACACACCTTCCACATATTTTATTTTAGAGCTAGTAAGAGTAGGAACTTCCCACGGTTAACGAGAGCATCTCCTGTATTTGTGGGCATGGTGATGATGATAACAACAACAACAATAACAATAACAATAACATTTATGCATACTCCGCCCATCTGGCTGGATTTTCCCAGCCACTCTGGACGGCTTCCAACAAAAGATTAAAAATACATTAAAACATTGGATAATAAGAAGAAGAAGAAGAAGAAGAAGAAGAAGAAGAAGAAGAATTTATTATTTGTATCCCACCCATCTGGCTAGGTTTCCCCAGCCACTCTGGGCGGCTTCCAACAAAGATTAAAAATACATTAAAATGTCACACATTAAAAACTTCTTCTAAACATCAGATAGTTGTTTATTTCCTTGACATCTGACGGGAGGGCGTTCCGCAGGGCAGGTGCCACCACTGAGAAGGCCCCCCGCCTGGTTCCCTGTAATTTCGCTTCTCACTGAGGGAACCGCCAGAAGGCCCTCGGAGCTGGACCTCCTTATTTGAAGGAAGCAGAGCAGGAGCTCAGAACAGGGACTCTCACAGAGATGCAACAGGAGTTTTCTCCTCTGACGGTGGCTAAAGGTGCCTTGCGCCACAATGGGGAATAATGGACTGCTCTAATTGCACCTGGCACATAACAGTGCAAAATTAGGTGCCGCTGGTTTGGTAGGCGGGGAGGCTGGAGCAGAGAGTGAGAGGCAGTGGATCCCTTCATTCGTAGTGCTGCTGTTACTCCAGGTAGCACACAGTAGAGGGCTTTATAGGAATAGGAGACACAAAGGAAGTGGAAGTTAAATCTCTTGACTAGACCAGTTTAGGTCTGTGTCGTACTTCGGGAGCATGAAAGCTTTGGAGCTACACAGAACCCTTTTGCAAGGCAGAGCGGAGCAGCCTGCAGCAATCTGAAATGGACATTGCTGCTTTGAATTTGTCTAGAAAAACAAGAATAAAAGGTTAGCAGCAAATAATGAAATGATGATAGACTGCTGAGCCTGTGGCATAGCAAACAGAACCTGGGTTGCAAAGACCTGCGTTCAAATCCTTACTCCCGTTATTAAACGAATGAGAAAAGCCCTGGGCAAATTGCTGTCTCTTAGCTTAGCCACCCTTGCAGGGCTGTTTTGAAGCCAAACTAGACTGGCACCATATGTTTGCTGCCCTGAGCTGTTTATTATGAACTGTGAGCAGTGAATAATAAAGATTGCACTTTTATATACTGTATATATCTAAAAAAAACCCCTGAAATTAATGACCGGTTGAGCCAGAAAGTGTCAGGAAGAATCTTAAATCTGGTTGCAGTTTAGAGAGGAGAATTGCCCGGGCGGCCGTAGCTGGAGACGTCTCTTTAAACTTCGGCTTTCCCCATCAAGGATCTAATCTGATCTCTCCGGCGCCCTCAGATGTGGCTCACGGCAATGTTTTCTGAACTTCTGGGCTCACTACCCAAAATGAAATCGACATGCTATCTGAAAGGGGTCAGCCACGGCCATGTCTGAAGCGCTGTTTGTTTGTTTGCAAGAGGGTTGCGGAGTTCATACATCGATCCTGAGCGGAAAAGGCTTAGTCTTCAATGGCCTCATCCCTCTTGGGGAAGAGTATCCTTCGCCAGTGCCAGCTGTCCTGAAATACTCTTTGCCCGGACATAAGAAGTTCGGCTTGAGAACTTTTCCTGCAGTTGCCCGTGCAGCCATTTTTAAACAGGGGGTCAGGAACTGGCGTCCCCCAAGTCAAACCCGGCTTAATTAAGACAAAATGTCATTCTGGCCTCGTGGAGAGCCGTCAAGAGTCAAGGAAAGGGGGATATGAGGGAACTGAGCGGGGTTCTTCTTCACCCACCAACCCTTCAGTTTTTGACAGGCTGGTCATTCAACAAGAGTTGCTGCTGACACATGTCAATCTCCCAGCTGTGGGGATTTGGCAAGGCTTCAGTTTTGACCCAGACAGCGGCCCAGCCAGTTTGTGAGGCCAAGATCCAGCCTTGGAATATGCAAAACAAAAATAAGAGTTCCATGGAGCATGTCTAGAGTGCTTTCTCCTCCCTCACCCACTGTAGCTTTGACAGTGTGTTGTTGCAAAATGACAAAAGGGTCGTGTGTCACCCTGAAGACCTTTATTAAGCCTCACAATTTCGACTTTTTAAAAATAAAAAATGGCCTGTGTTTTTAAAATGGATTATATATATACAAAGTCGGTCACAACTGGACCTAATGGTCAGGGGTCCCTTTACCATATATATATATGCATATACGTGTGTGTGTGTGTGTGTGTGTGTGTGTGTGTGTATATATATATATATATATACACACACACACACATATATACTGTACACATACATATACATGTATATTAAACTGTATACATATATGTATACATATACATATATGTATACATACATACATACATATATGTATACATACATATATGTATACATATATATGTGTGTGTGTGTGTATAATATAAATGGGCCAGACAACACAGCTATCTTTATTTCCAGTTTTTAAAAAGATGCTTTCTAGACTTAGCCAAAACAAAGGCTCTTTGAAAACAACACATTTTAAAAAATAAAACGCCCTTTCTTCGGAAAGGCCAAGGCCTGGCCTGGTTGCTAAGGCCGAGGCAGCCTCACTGCCCGGTTGCTAAGGGCTCCTTCCAGCCCCGCCCCCTCGCCCGAAACTCGGCCGCCATTTTTGATTCTCCCCGCTCCGTTCCCGCCTGATGACGTGCGGACGCTTATGCCCCGCCCACCGAGCTCGTGGAAGGGGAGAAAGAAGAGCGGGGGGGCGAAGGGGAGAAGGAGGGGGCGTGGTCGCCCGGGGAGGGCGGGGCGAGCGGAGGGGCCGGGCCCCCCGGAGCGCCGGAGCCAATGGGAAGCGGCGTGGGCGTGGCCCCGGCGCCTGGCTCAGGTAACAGGTTGCGCCCGCGGCGGCGGAGGCGCAGAAGGTGTGAGAGGCGAGCGGGGCAGGTGGGGGCGGCCGAGGAGGAAGCCAGAGGGTGAGTAGGGGGGCGGAAACCCCCTTTTTGCGCGTGAATAACGCTCTCTCCTTCCCTTCCCACCCTCCTTTTGAAAGCAGCGGTCCCAGCCGCGCGCCCCACCCCGTTTCCTTATATGGGTATCGCCCCCCACCCCAATTTCTGCCCTGCCCCAGTTCACTGTCCCCAAGCGAGGACGGCCGCCCCCCTTGCGGTTAAGGCTCTTTCCCCCCGCCCAGCCGCTGCTTTTATTTGTGGGAGGGGGTGGTTAGGGTGCTTTCTCATTTTTGCCCTCCACCTTAGCTACTATATCTCCTTTCAATCCCAGGGGAGTTTGTGGATTATTAATTATTATTATTAATTATTGTTATAAGCCCGCCTGCTTCCAGCTGCTATTGGTGTCCCCCCTCCCTGCCGCCTTTTAAAGAATTGCTGTGTTTCCTTGGAAAGAAATCCACGCACTCTCTCTCTCTCTCTCTCTCTTTTGGCCCATCTGCACTCTCAGTTTTGGGTTTGTACTCCTCTTCAACTTTTTCAGAGACAGGACCCCCTTTTAAAACCCAAACGTGCATTGGATTGACCCGGGAATCGCTAGTGACTCCAGACTTGCTGGTTGAAGACCAGTGCTCTGGAGACCATGCCTGCCCACCCTCTCCAGTCCTCAGGGGACACTGTCCGTCCGCCCTTCCCCAACTTAAGTACCTACCTAACACTGATTTTTATCACTGGGATTTCTGGGTTGCATCCAGCTAAGTTCCAATTTGACCCATTAGAATCCATGGACTTGCATTAGTCACAGGTGTGGACTTTGGTAATCTGGTGCCCGAAGCAAGGACAAATTTGATGCCCGCCTCTAAATATTTATTATTTTCACAATAATTCCTTTTTTATGTATTATTGTTTTGCGCCCCCTCAGCTCAGCACCCTGTGCAGGGGAAGCATCCGGGTTGCCCCAAATCTGGCACTGTTAGTTAATTTCTAGAGTGGAACTAACATTAAATACAATCCTCTTGGTGCTGTTTCTGGTTTTATACTCCCACCATCTAGGGGTGTGGTACACCATTTGTGATAAATACTTCCTGTGTGTGTACACACACACACACACACACACACACACACAGTGAGTTTATGGTTACTGTTCCTGCCCCAGTGAATGCCCCCACAATCTGTCACAGCCTGACACTTTCTCTCTCACACACATACACACAAAACACAATTATAATCCTGATTTTCTGCCCTGTGCACACTGAATTCCCCCTACAGCTACAGCCCACACCTGGAATTTTGCTCCCCCTCGTCTCAAATCCCCCCTTCCCTTCCAAGGCTGTGCTGCCTCTAACTTCCATTCTGGCTATATTTTCCCATAGTGGAACACCTTTAAAAAACGCCAACTGAGATAACTCTGGGGAGGAATTCTTTGCTGGCATGCTGCTTTCTGAACGGTGTGGACTCTTTGTGGGGCTGACTGGCAAGAGCCGGCAGAAATTCCAGGAGCCTAAATGTTGATTCCTGGTTCTGGTGCCTGGGAAATTTGAAATCTTTGCTCGGTTTCCTTCCACGTAAAGTGGGAATAGGGATTGGAAGTGTTCCTTTACATTCTTTGGGATTTGCACCATGTTATTCCATCACATCTTGTGTCAACGTAGCTCTGTTTGCCTGATGGGTTAGTGCAGGATAGCAGGAAAGGAGGTGGTGTTTTCTGCTGTCGTAACTATAAAGGGACCCAGAAGGGCTAGAGAAGGTTTTAAGTTAGATGCACCTTCAGAATACCATGGGAGGAACCCACTAGTGGGTTTTCTCTGGTGTAAATCAGGATTGCACTGGGAGCCACAAACCTCATGCGTGAAAGCCGCTCTGAGGCTGCCCTCTTGACCAAGGTTGGTGTACACAAGATGTCAGCCAAAAGCCATATCTTAGCCCGTCATTCCTTTTGAAATACTGTATTCTGCTGCAGCTTTGATCCAAATTGAGGAAAAAGAATAACCTAGCTGTTTTTTAAAGCTGGTAGTGTATATTCAGCCAAAAAGGGACTTTGATCCTGGAAGGGGGTCTGTTTGTGTTAGCTAAGGCTTCAAACTTTGAGCAGTTTTGGGGATGGTTTATTTTGATGCGATGTGTATGGCATTGGTGACTGATGGCTCCAAAAACCACCAACTCAGGATAAAATCCTCCTTTTATTAGCTCTCTGGTCATTGCACTGTTTTACTGCAAGGGATGCTTTGATTGTGAAGGCAGGCCTGTCTCTCTCTTTTTCTTGCTCCAAGCTTGCTCTTCAATAAATAACCTCCTGTTAATGTTTCCATGCGTGTAAACTAAAGGGTTGCCTTTTTAGAGTCACATTGGTGTTGGTAATTGCTATAAGGTAGGAGGCGCAAAATGAGTACTGTAAAACTAGATCAGGCTTCCTCAACCTTGGCCTACAACTCCCATGATCCCTAGCTAGCAGGACCAGTGGTCAGGGATGATAGGAATTGTAGTTTCAAAACATCTGGAGGGCTGAGGTTGAGGATGCTAGAAGAGAGAGATGTGTGCAAGCCTATGAGCATCACAGAACTCTTCGGGTGGAAGGGAAGAGTAACTGACTGATGCATTTATGCGCATAAACCCCGTGGCTCAGGGGCCTGAAACAAAATGAATTAAGCCTTGCTGGGGTCTAATCCAGCACCCCACTTTCCACAGTGACTAGAAAGAGGGCCACAACTCCCCCCCCCCCCAAATTGCCTGACTGCAGCATCTAGTTTTCAGAGGTAGTGTGTCTTGGAAGATGGCAATGCCATTCCCCAGCGTTATATGGCTACTGAGAACAGGAGAGTCTTGCTAGATTAGATCTGGATGTCCAAGTTATGGCAATCAGAGGTATACTGTGTCCAGACATGGAGGCTCTATTTAGACTTATCTTCCATTAATTTGCCTCTCTCTTGGGAGGTTTCCTGCCTGGCTCCGTAATAACCCTGATTGCAAGCTCCAAATCGCTCTTCTGTTATTATGATTATTATTATTCATTTGTTGCAGCATTTATACCCTGCTTTTTCTCCAGGGATCTAAAGATGATGAACATAGTTCTGCCCTCCATCTCCATTTTATCCTTACCCTGTGAGGTAGGTTAGACTGAAATGCACAGACTTGGCCCAAGGCCCCCCAGCGAGCTTTATAGCTGAATAAGGGGATTTGAACCCTAGTTTCCCAGGTCCTAGTCCAACACTCCTAATCACCGCACCTGGGGGATCAGGGTTCAAATCACCCATGCACAGTCTCTTAGCTTAATCCGTTGGGTCTGCAGAAACCTACCTAGAAGGGTTGCTGAGAGGATAAAACAGGGAGATCCATGGAGGAAAGGCTCAAGATACATAAAATGAATAAAACAACTTTCTTCCTATCCAAGAAGCAGCAAAGGGTTCTTTAAAAAAACAAAACAACCCCACAGTTAAAGGCAAAGCTGGTGTTGTTCCTTTGCCCTGGGGAGGAAGGGATTAAAAGAGGCCTTTGACTACGTGACCTTTTGGAATGCGAAGGAATCCTATTATAAATCGCTTTGAGGTGGGGGTGGAGGAAGGAAGTGACCCCAGCTATATCAGCAGTGCAAAGATTTGCTCTCTCTCTCTCAAAGGATAGGGAACCTGATGCCCTCAAGGTGTCGATGAACTATCATTTCTGGCCATTTGGCTGTGCTGGAGATTTGGAATCCCAACAACATTATATATTGTTATTACATTCATATGTACACCACATTTTCCCAAGGAACTCAAGGTGCTCCTCCTCCTCATTTCATCCTCAGCGACAACCCTGTGAGGTGGGTTAGGCTAAGAGATTCGTGACTGGCCCAAGGGCACCCAGTGGCTGCGTGGGGATTCGAACCCTGGTCTCCAGGTCATAGTCCAACACTCTAGCCATTTGTGCCACTGGCTCTGGTACAAATGGCAGGCCTCAGGTTGCCTGATATATAGAGCAAAACTTTGCATTGCTGATAGATGGGGGTCATTTTCTCTCTCTATTCCCCCCCCCCCCTGCTTTTTCTAACTGGAAACAACCCCCCTTACCATGAAGCCCCTCTGTTGCTAAATCCTGTTGTGGTCATCTCCCCCCCCCCCACCTTGTCCCACTCCCAAATTTGCAAAAAATTAACTGGCTTTTGATTTGGAACAGTTTAGGAAAGTTACAGTGAAATAAGATTTCAGCCTTAAACTGCTATCCTAGGCACACATACAGTCAACATTATTGGGGCTTACTTCTGAGTAAGGATGCGTAGGGTCAAGCTCTCTCTCTCACGCACGCACGCACACATGCGCGCGCACACACACAGAAAGTGAACTACACACTTGCATTGAAATTGACAATTGCTTTCCCGTAACACTGCCCCTTCTTAACAATTAAAATTTAGAACGACCTTCTTGGTGCGATACATCTTTGCATTGGAAAACACAGCTGCTTTTGTGAAATCTATCCAGTGGAACCTTGGTTTCTAAACTTCATCCGTTCAGGGAGT